GGCCCTGGCGGCGTTGGCGGCGGTGCCCCGCGGCCGTCCTCCTCCAGCTCCAGGCTCTCCACGTCGATCTCCCAGTCCCCCGCCGCCGGGCCCGCCTGCCCGTCGGCCATGGCGCTTAGCTGGGGCCCGCGCTCAGTCGCCTGCACTCTGGGAGACACGAAAAGACCCCAAAACCCACCGGCCGCGGTGAGACACCATCCCCAGGCCTTGGGCCCAGATCTCCGGGTCTGCCCACCGACAGTCCCCTTGAGGAGCCCGGTTCTTGACGCGCTCCTCACATCCAGGCCACAAGTGCCTGTCTTGTACCATTAGGGCCTCAGAGATCCCCATCCCAACAAGGTTCTTATCTATTAATTCTAAGTGCTCTGTGAGCACCTGACCTTTAACCGCAGCCCTGTCTGGCTGTAAGATCAGGCATTACTGATCTCTCACACACACACACACACACACACACACACACACAAGCATTGTGTCCAGCTAGACCAGCTTAGGCCACTTGTCAGGCTTCCCCACACCCAACGAGTTTGGCCATGATGCATATAAAAATGTCAATGTAAGAATTTTTTTCCTTTTGATCACACTGGCCCTTCAAACAGAGAGGTGCTGCCCTATGGCTCCCAAATGTCTCACATCCACCTCCACCACCATAAAGGCCCCTTCTTGGGCCTGGAGAGGATCTCTCATCCCCCTTTCCACCCAAGTTAATAAGTGACTAACAACCAAAGCGCAGGGCTGTCATTACAGCCCCACAGGGCCACGGGGCACAGAGATGCAGGTGCCCTTCCAGCATCAACAGTGCTTGGGCCGCGCTGGGCTGAGCGGCGCGGGCTCTATGCACGTAGGGCATGGTTTGCACTTTAAGGCAAGACTCCCAAGTAAAATAGAAAAGAAAAGGAAAGGTGATTCTCACCCTTTGCCCTCCCTGACACCCCAGCAACATCACAGCACTCACCAAGACTCTGACGCCCGGGCTAGCAGCCCAGGCAAAAGATATCCAGCCTTGGGACCTGGCTCTTGAACTGCTGGCTGTGCTTGCAAACAGAAATCGGGGCCGCCACACCCTGCCACGAAATCGGAGGCCCGGAGCCCACTGGATGGGGAGTTGGGAAGAAAAGGGATGGAGAAGGTGAGTCAAGTCCTTACGGCCTCGCCCCACACATCCCGGTCTCTGTAAAGATCAGATCAGTCCTCGGCAGCCCGGGGCGTTTCACTTCGCTGAAGCTACTTTCGGCTTCCTCGGCCCTAGGCTGGCAGGAAGGGTCAAGCCGCCCCTGCCTGGCTGAAACCGCAGACTCTCGCGGCGGGCGGCCGCACGCAGCCACCAGCGGCGCGGCGAACCCCGCTGCAGTCTCCTGCCGCCGCTCCCTTTCCTAGTATTATCCGTTCGGGCCCCTGAGCTTCGTGCCCGCTGATTGGCCAGTTGTCAGGCGGTGTGCACGCTGATTGGTCAAGGCGCGCCGACCCGGAGCTTCCCCCGCCCCCCTCCTCGCAGCCACGACGCTCCGCCCCGCCGGGCTCCGCCAGAAAACTCCCGCGCGGCCTTCGGTGCAGCCGGGTAGCCTGTACCGACGCTAAACCCGAAGCGTGACAGCGCCTGCGGAGGTCAAGTCGCCATTTATCTCCCGGACTAGGAAACAGACAGACACCCTATTACGAATCGCGTTGTCCACAAAAGAAGGTAATAGACAGGGCAGAGAGAGAAAGGCTACTGTTGATCTCTACATTGGCAGCATCACCAGTATTTCTGCGACTCAATCATGAACCCAGATTGGGCGCAAAAATGAGGCCTCTTTAATCAGGTGCACGGCAGCATCCTACTTTCTTCTGCAAGGCTAAATCAATACTTATCTTGCACCGCAGTGCGAGGTTAGCAGACAAGTGACCTGTAGGTATTTTTGTGGCTAGAGCCTCTTTTCGAAGTGCAAAGTAGTTCCTCGTTAATCTTCACCATGCCTAGGAGGGAGGCAGGTCGCCAAATCGCGTATGTCACTTAATTCTTCTGCTACGTTGGTTACTATTACACTCGATTTGAAGGAGAACAGACATACTTGGCTTTAAGAGATTTAGGTACAATATATTCACGCTAAGCCTGCTTTTAAACGAAGCTCTTTTTACTTTTTTTAAAAAATTACTTTTTTAGTGTATGTGAATTTATAAAACCTGTCTACGTCAAAAAAATCCTTATGTAAATATTTAATAACAGTTAAATGGACATGTTGAAAGGAATTAGCTCCCTAATTCAAGGCTGCATTCTATTTATTGAAGTAAGTTTAAAGCCAAGTAGACGCTTTTCTAGTTACACCTTTTTTAAGAAATACCTTTCAAAATCAGTTTAGGAGACAGATTAGCAAACTGAGTGCCATTGCACTGAACACCTAGTAGGCCCGCAATAAGTATTTGTTAAAGGAAGGAAATCGCTGAACCGAATCTAACGTTACTTTTCTGGGAGTCGCTCAGGAGTTGTAACCAAGCTCCGAGAGTTTGGAACAAGGCGGTTTAAGAATCACAGTGAAACTAATGCGATCCGCTGGATGCGCAGGTATTCTCCGAACTTTGGCGAGGTTGGAAAGTTCTTCCCTGGTGGCCAGGCACTGTGATTTCCCTTTGTGCGGTACTTCTCCCTAGAGTCCTTTGAGATGCCCAGTGAAGGAAGTAGAGAAACAGTCCTTTTGACTCCTGTGGGCAGCTCTGTCGCGCTGGGAGTCTCGGAGGGAGGCTTGGGAGCTGTGCGCGCTCAGACGCAGGACAGTCAACCCTTCCTGCCTCTCGCTTGGCACCACCTAATAAGACCAGTGAGTTTTACCTTTGGCATAGCTGCTTATACGTAGGAATGTGCATTTGTTCTTGACGGCAGAAGAATTGTTATTTTCCCCGTTTTTCCAATGACGAAACTGAGGTTTAAAGAGGGTCACTCAGTGATCTTCGGTAGGGCAACGGACTGGTGAGCACTATGGTCCTATTTTGGTCTCTCTGCTCTCAAGTCTCAAAGTTCGTGGAGCCCCTCGCTCCCAGCCAGAAAGACTCACAAAGGGTTCGCGTTTTTTATTTTATCCCCTGCACCCCTTCTAATTTCAGTACCGGGCGTTAGGAGCAGCCCTCCTGCAACAGGACAGGGCACGTTTATATCAACTCTTCGGGTTGTTTTTGTGTGTGTCTCCCTCTGCTAGCTACATTTCTGCCTTTGCAAACAAGCTCCACGAAGTGGATACAATCTGCAACTCACCCACCCACCTCCGCCTCCCCACAAGCTGTGTGTACTCGGGTTGGCAGGCTGGGCTTTTATTAATTGCCTGGCGGGTGGAGAAGGGCAGGAAATCATTAGCCTTTCACCAGTTATGAATATTAAGGAACAAAATCAAGAAAGCAGGTTTGTTAATTTTGGGTAACTAGATTGGGGAAAAGAAGGGCGACTGGGAAGGAACAGGAGCAGAAGGGGGCGTGAGCAGCTCTTTACTAAAATAAACCAGATGGGCAGCCCTTGAACTAGTTCGAGTTGTAAGAGCTGCTATTTAAAGAGGAAACAAGTGAGATTTGTGTACAGTAAACAAGAGCTGAAGCCAAGACTGGAGATGGAGACATGGGGGAAGGTGGCGCCAGCTCAGGGAAGCAAAGGGAGCGAGCCAGGCCCTCAGAACGGGGATCAGAGCCTGGCAGCGCCCCCCGCCCAGCAGCATCTCCCCTGGAGAGGGGAAAGTAGCCGAGATTCCTGAAGGGATTGGACCGTGGGGGTTCCGGGTGGTTGGGCCCAGGACCGCGTCCTCCCCTGCACACTTTCCCAAACCCTAGCAAAAACCTATGCAACAGTCCCACTGCTCCCTCCAGACTTCCCTGCCCATCTCCCAGGGCCCCCCTCTCCCCACTCGTCTTACCCTCCCTGCACCCCATCTGCTGTACTTGGGGGCGTACGGCTGTAATCGCGATCCATTTGAATTACACTCCATTCCCTGGCCCTAC